GGCACCAAGACTTCGCGCGTGCACAGCGTTGCCAGATTTGCCCCAGTGCTGAGCTTGCCAAGTTGGGATCTGGCAGTTGGTCAGTGCAGGGCGCCAGTGGCAAATTGGCATCCAAGATCATCACAGGTAGTGTTCTTCCATGTTCTTCCTCTTTGTCTTTGCACAAAACGCCACGAAGTTCGTCGGACGTCGACTCTCGACGACGACTTGGATTGGACCCTCCAGACAGGTCTGAGAAGGGAGAACATGATCTGTTTCAACACGGTGCCCAGGGTTTTCACCAGCAGGCTAATTAGTCGGGAAAACACCATCTTCCAATCTTTGAATAAGATGGATAAGTAATAGTAAGTATATATCTCTCAGTTGATTTGCAATTTATATTTTGCCTATCTCCACTGCTCAACATGAGCTGTGGCTTGAGTCGCGCTATATTTTGCCTATATATCCAAGAGTAAATATATAATTAGCATTAGTATATTGACCTTCCCGGTGACTTCTTCAGGATTGGCAAGTGACCTTTTCAAGGCCTAAGTGACCTCATTCTGGGATCTCGGTCACTGGGAAGGTCCTGGAATATTTATGTTATCCTTGGATAGATATTCTACATCTATCAACCAACTTCCCACCGAGGAGTTCAAGGACCCGCTCACCGCGTGTGATCCTCTGTGGGATTTAGGCGCGGAAGCTCAAGATAGAAGACCCAGAGTGAAAATGCTCGGAGATGACCGATTTTGCTTGCTTGCAAGGATTTCATAGCGGATCCTATCATGGCGGACGTTTTGTACTCGTGAAACGAGGGACGAAGGAGAGCAGGTACGTCTACGGTGCGTGGCTTGTGTAGGATTTGATTTCTACGGTGAGTGACTGGGACGTTCACACAGCACAGGAACTGCTTGCCCCTCCTGCACCCTTCCATTTTTTGTGCGTCAGTTGCTTTTGTTTGTGTACACCCGCCTGGAACCCCCAACTACCAGAAGTCAACAAACGGGTGTTCCAACGTGTCGGTCAAGATCGTTTAGAATTCTGGGAGAGACATTTGTAAGCTATCTATCATATTCTATCATTATCTATCCATTTCTGAATATGACAGCAGCATTCAGCATTAAAAAAGGACACGGACCTGAAAAATTCTGTACGACTTCCACTCGTACTATGCCAGCTGCGCCGAAACGCACGGGGCGACTGCAGGAAGAGTTCTGCATAGACGATCAATGTTCTGTTTTCGATGAGAGACACACTTAGATAACGGCTCGCAAGAGCTAAATCAGTTGTGATCTTCCACTCTAGTGATTACAATACCGATCTAGAGCCCGAAAACCTGGACCTGTCAATGGCCATATGCAAACCGTAAGGTGAAGGAGTCAGCCTAAACAGTATGGTTTAAACCAAATTGCATGGGTGATTTCTGCAGGTACGCTCCTGAGGCGTCCCTCGGGAAATATCGCAGTCTCAAACCACCGTCTTCGTTGGGCAGTGGATGGTGAGAGACTCACTGCCCCCCCTGCACTATACGAGGATGAAAAGAACAGTCAATCGAATTACATTGTTGCATTCCTTAGTGTGGTCGAGTTCCTTAGAAACAGGAGTTGGCACACACAAAAAGCCGTCGTTCGGCGCACTCTGATTGGGTGGGGGATTAATACGAAGGAAATGGGACTGTCCTGCACGGGGTTCCAAGGGAGAGGGATTGATCCATAGATGTCGATGAACAAGCCGGGTTTTTTGACTCGAATGACTCGCAAGCATTCCGCTAAGTTATGCCCTTTTTGGGCGTATAGCTGGGCAAGGAGAATGAGCGCCCGTTCAGCTGCCGAGGCCGGGTACGTGTAGTTGCGGATGAGGTGGGCACGGGAATTGAGACCTGAAAGTCGTGGGATCCGTGTCGTCAACATACCAAAAGTGTCGTCAACATGCCAAGACGATTTTCGGCGTCTCAAAGCAGAGTTGCCACGCGCGGAAGCAGACGTCGGGCAGCCAATGCAGAGCCAGAACATCATTGAGAACAATAGAAAACACAAACCAGTTGGACAAAGACCACAGTAGTAGCAAAAGTGTCGGTTGCACACCCTCGTCAACGTACACGCAGATATTTCAACGTAGCAGACGCCAACAGTTGCAGCACCAGAGCAATATCAGAATTGCCGTTGCCAGCACCTCTGCAACGCACAGGCAAACATTGTAGGGTAGTGCCAGCGCAGGGCAACAGAACGACAGCAATGTCGCAATCCCCGCTGCCACAACTTCGGCGATGTAGACACCGACAGAGCACCAGCAACAAACCCGCAGAACCTGCAGGACCACTGTGTTTGCAAGGGCCTCGTCCACAGGCGCCCAGATATTTGACGGTAGCACCAACAAAGACTTGCAGAGCCCATGGAAGCACAGCAATATCGCCATTAGTCGCGGCCACAACCTGCTCAACGTACACGCGCGGCTTTCACCGTAGCAAAAGCACACAGTGGCAGACTCTGCAGGATGAGGGCAAAATGACAATTGTGGTTGCAGACGCGCTGTCAACGTACACCCAGATATTTTGCAGTATCACCAGCAAACGGAATCCACAACTGCGCAGAAATATCGCAATTGTCGCAGGCGCAATCTCGTCGACGTGCGCGCAGATTTCACAGCAGCATGGGTAACAAGTGGCAGGGCACTGGCAGACTCTGCAGAAAGGTGCAGGATCAGAGGAAAATCACAATTGTGATTGCAAGAGCCTCGTCAACGTACACACAGATGTTTCACGGGAGCGCCATCATCACCCCAACCCCACCCCCTAACCCCTCCGCAAACCCTAAACCATAAAACCCGAAAGCCTCAGGGTCAAATATGTCGCGAATTTGAACTCGGTGCTTTCTTTGTATAAACTCTGCCTGAGCTCTGTGGGGTTGGGGTTGGGGTGATGATGAACACTACGTGTTCATCATCACCCCAACCCCAACCACCCCCCCACCCCCCCAAACCCTAAACCGTAAAACCCGAAGGCTTGAGGGTCAAAAGTCGCGAATTTGAACTCGGCGCTTTCTCTGTAAAAGCTATGACTGAGCTCTGTGGCGTTAGGGTTGGGGTGATGATGAACATGTAGTGTTCATCAACCCCAACCCCATGTTTCTTGTTTTTGGGCCCCCATTCGCTGTTGCTTCATGATGGTTATGTTATGTATGCTCTTACGCAATGCATATCTATTGCCCATGTATTTGGCTCAACGTGCACTTTGTGCTATAGAAAAGCCGCTTAGCTCGCCTTCGCTCGCACGCTCTTGTGGAGACTTGCTAGCCTGTAAGCTGATCCAGGTCGATACTGTTGATTACCGCTCCATTGCAATCCTTTACATTCGTCTCCCAGCTCTGGGCTGCAGTGTCCGCCTCTGCCCTGCAATCCTTAAATTTACATTTGTCTCCCAGCTCTGATTGCTTTGTCCGCCTCTCGCCAATTGTCTCCCAGTTCTGGGCTGCTGTGTCTGCCTCTCGCTTGCAACCCTTTACTGCCGAAAGCCCTGTCAGGGCCACGCGGTGGATGTTTGGGACATCAAGGAGTGCCTTCACCAGCATCAGCGAGAGGGACGGGGGTCCGCAAAAGGACTTGTGACGAGGTATTGTTCATCCTGAGGTTGCAACCAATCCGTCTCCAGTGGCTGGAGATGGGGCAAGTGAGGTAGCTGTTTTTAATCGCAACGAATCATCGGACTATCTTGGACACATCACTATCTGAACAGGTCCCGAGAGAGAGAGAGAGAGAGAGAGAGAGGGCTGTCGAGAAGGTGAGACGACTCGGTTTTTGGAGCAGCTGAACATCCAATTCTGCTGACCTCGGTGATGAGAGAAGTACACCTTTGCCAGTGGGGTTGTAGGTCGGTGATACTTGGGCCACTGTTTTTTCTTAGCCTAAAAGGACTCCCTGAAACAATCATGGAAGTGGAAAGCAACCGGTTAGTAGGAAAAGAGTCTTACAAGGAGCCATGTTTTACTTCCATGTTTGTCGGAGTTGGAGGGAGGGTAGATGATTTCCTTTGAACTATTGGATGCTTTGTTGGTACATGTTCCGATGGTGACGCATGCTCCATCGCCCTACAGTGGAAATCAATGTTTGGTCTGGTTCTTTCAGGGTGGGTTGTTTCAAATGAGCCCCTTGGTGCAGCCTCACATGATATGATTTGATCATCCTCTTGCATTTCCACACAATCCACGGTCTTCTTCTTCGTTTGGGGCCGAAGACACCGCATCACCGCGAGGCGTGTGGACGAGGTCCAAAACCCCGAATCATGAGCCACCCGGCTGGGACCTGGGAAGGGACGTGGGAAGAGAGGCTTTTGCAATCCAAATGATGGGACAGCAGTGTGATGCTGCATGCATGACATATCATACATCGAGTCATTCTCACCAGTCCAAAGCCAAGGGCTGAATTTTGTCAGGCCAATTGGCAACGGAGCGACGTGTCAGACACAGTGGAGGCAGGGGTGTTTTGTGGGAATAGGAGGTTCCTTGTGAGGTCACTTGGGTGTTTGTTGAGATTGCCGCGGACGTGTTTGCAGATTCCATACCTTGTATGGGGAATGCAGAACTGTCGGAATGTACTGGCGAGGCACTTTTTTTTGGAGCTTTCAGTCACTCCGCTTCAGACTCTCTGCTTCTTGCTGTCGCTCTGGAGTTATTTCAGATCCAGAAGCAGTTGCGAGGTCGGTGAGCCAACGAGCCCCATTCACTGTGCCTGGAGTGCATTCCTCAGGTGAATCGGAAACTTGAAGCACAGCAAATAGACCCTTCCAGGGAAATGGGTGAGGCAGGCCCCTGCCCTATTGTTGTTGAGACCTTTAAGATAGTCGGAGAGTCTGTTCTGGGAACGCGTAGCCCGACGACAACCCCAACGAAGTGCTCCAAGCCCAAGTCTAATAGTAGACATTGCCAGCTTGAAGCTCCTATCCACGCAGGCCGGCTCAGAGAGAGAATCTGCACTGTCACTGCGAGAGACAAGAGTTCAATTCAGCTTGGCGACAGTGTTGCGCCATGTTGGCCCGTTCCCTTTGGTCCCTTTGCTGGTTAGGTTCCACGTGTCTTGGCCTTGCCGAGTCCTTCAGTGAAGCTGATTGCGAGGAAGATGGCGCAGCCTACATCCAAGTGGCGGCCGCCAAGGCCACAGCTCCCTCCACCGCGGCTTTAGCTCCGGCCGAGCGCTGCACGGTGGGTCTGGGCCAAACGGCCCGCTCGATGAGGCAGAGAATGGATGATGTCTTCTTTGAGCTCTATGGTGCCAAGATGGTCCGCGATGGCATGCAAAAGTTTGAGTATCGACCCCATTGGCCAGACATGTCGGAGGAGGGAAGCCGGCAACGTGTGGAGAAGTTGAGCGCCTTTAAGGTGGAACTTGAGAGTGCCAGCAAGACTCCCCAATTGCTCGGAGACAAGAACGCTTTGTCTCGGATGCTCTACTTGGTTGAGGAGCGGCTCCGTGGGGAAGGAATTGGTGGCGGAGCGTTGCCAGTTGCTTTGGCGATGGATCTGTTCAATCAAGGCAGGGGCGGGCGAAACCTGGTCACCATGGACTCTCAAGTAGCTTCAGGAATTCTTCGACCAGGGGAAAAGGACCTCCCCTCCAAAAGCAAAGCTTGATATAAGTATATAGCCGCAGAGTTTTTTTTTAGTACGAAGAATCAAGTGAACTGCGGTGATTCAAATGCAAGATAGAAGAACAATTACAGCACCGTAGACCCCAAACAGGTCGGACAACAAAGAAGCATTCACAAACCCTTACTGTTGAGACATGGGAGACAACAAGAAAGACAAGGCGGACACAATGACCAACAAGAACGGAGACAAGAAGAGAGAGAGGGAACAGAATGGAGACAAGACGGACATAGTGACCCACAAGAAGGGAGACAAGAAGGGAGACAAAAGGAAGCAGAAGGGAGACATAATGGAGACAAAGGGACTCAGAAGCGAGACAAGAATGACCAACGAGCAGGGAGACAAGAAGGGAGACAAGGCGGACGCAGCGACCAACAAGAAGGGAGGACAAGACCGGAGACAAAGGGAGACAGAAGGGAGACAAGACACACACACACAATGACCAAGAATAACGGAGACGAGAAGGGAGACAAAAGCAAACAGAAAGGAGACAAGAGGGACACAGTGGCCAACAAGAAGGGAGACAAGAAGGGAGACAAGACAGACACAGTGACCAACAAGAAGGGAGGACAAGACCGGAGACAAAGGGAGACAAAAGGGAGACAAGCCGGATGGAAGGCGGACACGCTGTCCCGCAGCAAGGCGGACACTCTGAGAAAGCATTGAGAAAAAACGTATAGAAATCACATGAGGCACAAATGAATAGAAATGCTGCGTGGCCAGCGGAGCAGGGCAGTGCAGGCACCAAACAAGGAAAGAATTGACAATGGTGCATAGCCAGCAGAAAAGAGAGGACCCCAGCAGTGCAGGCACCGAACCTGGGAGACACAAGTACAGAAATCAGGAAGACAAAAGTGGAAATCACCTGGAAGACAAATGAATGGAAATGCTGCATGGCCAGCGGAAAAGGGCGAGTGCAGGCACCGAACCTGGGAGAGAAAAGTAAAGAAACCACCTGGGAGACAAATGAATAGAAATGCAGCATGGCCAGCGGAAAAGGGCGGACACTAGCAGTGACAGAAAGGGCGGACACATCTTAAGTAAGTAAGAATTGAGAACCCCTAACAGTAAACCGTTTGGACCGTTTGGGGAAAAAACTATTTTGCCCACCTGCGAAGTGATCTTGCTGCATGCAAGCGCTGTAGCAGCTGTAGCAAGAGGCTGAAACCTCAGCGAACCTCTTGGTCATGCATGTTCGCCCTGCAATCAGTGACCATCACTCTTAAACGTGGGAGTGATTTTGCAATTTTTGTCTGTAGGCGTAGAGGTTGACGGATGTTTGACAGCCTTTGCCCACCAAAATTTTTGCCAAAGAATCTCGTAAAGCACACACATGAATTTACACGCAAAAACATTACTGCGTGGTCGAACCAACCCTGCTAACTCACACGAGTTTTCCTAAATTCGCATCGCTATTGGATGGCAGAGCCCCTTCGTTTTTCTTCAGGTTGGGGAAGATTCCGTGAGGGCCTCCGCTTTTCATTTTCCCCTGAGGTGTGGAAGCGGGGGACACACCAATGTCAGGTGGCACGGGTGGATTGCAAGTTCCCTTCTACTTCTATCCGGGCATCATCCAGTTGCTGGACTTTGCTCATAAGCAGGCTAATGTAAATTTGGCCCGCAAGCTGGATAAAGACGAGACTGAGAATCTTCTCAAGGGCCTCCAATCTTTTCCAAGGTATTTGCGGCAGTGGTCTGCGCTCTTGACCGCTTCTCAGAGCGCCAATGTCATCCCACAGCGGTCCAACTACATGAGCTGGAACTACTTGGGCCCAGTGAATTGGACGAAGAGCTTTCCTGATCTAAAGAACCAAGATCTGGTCCGTGAGCTCCAGATCAGTCTTGCAGAGTTCCAGGAGAAGATTCGACACTTTGATCCGTTGATCGATCAAGTGTATGGGAGCGATCAAGAGTACGGCTATTCAATCTTGGGCAGCATTGGTCAGGAGATCTTCTTGTGGCGCTTGCTGGGCTGGGGTATGAACTTCACTGCTGAACATGCTTCCGAGTTGGCAAAAAGTGGCCGGGAAGAGGCGAAACATCTCACTACGGAGATTGTCCGCGGCTTCGAACAGGCTTTGGGACAGAGTCTCTCAAAGGAAACAAGATAATACACTCCCGAAAACTAACATGGACCCGGAGAATGGCACCCTCAAAGATCCTCAAAGAGTGTTTTCATTTAGCTGCACCGGTGGTTTTCAGGGTCCATGTTAGTTTTCAGCGGGGTAGATATGTTTATTTTGGGTGCTGTTTGGGTGACTTTGGGTGCTTTGAGGGTTCGAGGTTGGGAATGTGTGAGGTATGGATGTGTCAGATGTGTTGAATCTGATCAACAACCAGTCTGGCCCTTTGTACTACCAGCATGTCAAATTTTCCGACATTGTCGCGAACCTGACTTTGGTGTACAACAACATCCTGAAGAACACGTCCAAGGTCTTTGGGCTTTTGAGCAATTGCAACACAGCCGTCTACAGCTGCTCAGAAGCTGCTCAATTCTCGGAAAGTCTTGCCTGTGGAGGAACTCCATTCCCGGCCTTTGGGCAAAACCCGCCGGTCTTCAACGAGCATGGGCAGTGCGTGAGCCCGCAGCTGATCATCCTCGGTTGTTCTACAGCATGCTCTGAGAACATGACACAGGGTTTGGCCTGCATGGACTACTTGATCCCGCTCATGACCTGTACTATGATTCATGAAGGGTTGGGTCATTGGATTCAAGAAAGCCAATTCTCACCTCCTGCGTGTGATGTGGACCTGCCGGCCGTTGACACCTATCAGGAGGGATGGGGCACATACACGGAGACCCTGGGAGAGGAACTGGGCCAGTTCGACAGCTCTTTGTGGGGGCAGCTGAGCAAAGTTGGATTGTGGATGGGCGCCGGTCTGCGGATCTCCAGATACTTCTTGGAACATGATGTGAACTACAAGAACATGACACGCAGTGAAGCTGTGGTAGAATGGAACACGTATCCGTTCGCTTCGCCCACAACGTATGAATCCAACGCCATGGACTTCATTATCGACACATGCCAGAGGTCTTCGTATTGGCCCACTTCAAAGATTATGAAGTCTCAGAGGAACCGGGCAGAGAAGGAACTGGGCGAGAAGTTCGACTTACCTCTCTTCAACCACTTCATGGGTTCGCTACAGGACCAGTTGACCCAAGCACTGGTTGAGGAAGCTGCCCAGACCTTCATTGACTGTAGCAGTGCAGGCAATTGCTGGGGGCCTTAGTGGCCTGCTGCTTCTGCCGAGAGGCAAGGGAATCAGAAGTGCCATGTAGCGCCACTAATTAAAAGCGCATGCGCGGCGTGAGCATATTCAAATTCGATTAAGATTATATTTCAAGACATTGCAACTTAGCTATTGGATTTTTGACGTGGGCTGGCCATTTTCAATTGGAAAGTCTAGAGGTTAGAGGAGACCCCCACTTGCTTCCATGGGAAAACAATAATTCCAATCGCCAAAGTTGTTGCGTAGTTCGGGCCCTTATTAGTCTGCAAGCAGAGGCGTCATCCAGTCTGCTTAGACAAAAAGTGCCGTCTGCGAACGACTGGAGAGCACAACAGACCACGACAATTTGCAGTGGTTCGCATTGGAGATCACCACAGTGGCAGAAGTGACTCATGTCTTTGCGACTCGCGCAGTCTCAGGTCAAACACCAGTTTGGGTTTGGCCCTCAGATGCTCCTCACACCCTGCCTTGCTCCTGCCTTTGCTCAGCGCAGCGCCTGCAACAGTGCACGCGTGCGTCGAACTATATAAAGCTGGTGGATCGGCCACTGTAGTCAGTCCTGCTTTCCAACTACTTGAGTATCGGTCAGTGGCAAGCAATTGGATCTTGACAGCAGAATTTCTTTGATGGACGATGTCTTGCTTTTCGTATCATGAGTGCAACAACTTGAATTGTGTAGGCCTTGCTTTGGCACAGTTCCCAAAAAGAGTTGAGCATTGTGCTAGCCACTCCCTACAACGACAGCACTTTCAATGCGCGCAGTGCTGGTCGAAACTCGATGATCGTGCTGTGTCCATCCGTGGTCCAGGTTGCCGATGCCCCATGCTCATCGCAGGCCGTCACACTCCCGCCATGATCCGTGGAGAGTCCAAAAAGGTACGTTTTGGGTTCTGACCAAGGATGGATGGCGTCCACTGCGAGGGTCCACGTGTTGTCAGAGTATGACCGTTCAATGGATGCAATCACAGGGCGCCAGCGAAGAATTGATCCACACAGGTCCTTTGCGAAGGGTTGGTTTTGAGGGTTTGTGCAAGATCTATGTTTGTGAGTCGGAACACTTTGTAGTTCAGACCAAGATGAACCAAGAAAATTACTCATTGTGACCCAGATATGTTACAAGCCATAAACTTACCTAAACAGAATCTCTCTCCCCATGTTTATGCTACTGAGCTACTGGTGGCTTCGGAGGGCTGGCAGTTGCTTGATGCTTTCGATGCTTTCCGCCTTTGGCCGCCTGGCTCCCCACAGCTTCGCAGCTCCTCCGCGCTTCGGCCGGTGCCTGAGTCCTTTTGGTCGCCCGTGCGCCCCAAAGTCATGGGGAGTGACGCCTTGGAGGAGCGATTCAGGATCTGGCGCAGCTTGACCAAGGAGAGTTTCGCCCGACCTCGACATCTGTCACCGCACCTTGGCATGTGAAGGAACACAACTCGGGGGGGGGGTTTTGTTTCGCATGGAGCTTATTCGATGGTTTGGTTACGTAGACGGTTGACGTCACGCTACGAGAGAGCAAGTGGAGCGTTCCAGCTCAGTGGGAGGCAGATGCATGAGCGGCAAGTGGAGCTCTTCCTGGAAGCTGTCCGGGGAGATTCCGATGAATCCTTTGATGAGTACATCCGACATCTGCGCCAGGAGCACTTTCCTGAAGCTTCCGAGGATGTGGAGGAAAGGGAGGATGCAGAGTATGATGGAGGTCCCTCGGTATGGAGCCTGTCAGTCAATTTTGTGTTCTTTGTGGTTTGTTCCTGTTATCCTTTAGGCTCCAAGAGCAACTGAAGCAAATCTTGCAGAAAGAATCTCTTGATCAGATGAACACCTGCTCAACCATGAGGTGAGGTAGCTGCACGTCGCAGCCAAGATCAAAAGTGTACCATCGTAGTGTGCGAAGTCTTAGTTGTGAGCCTGTGACTTTGCTTTTGCTATTGCCGTTGTATAGATCTGGCTGTGGATCAAAACCCTGGAATGTTGGGTCCCCCCAAACAATAACAATCACAAACACAAGATAGAAACTCCTTAACAACTCTAGAGACTGAAAAGAGAACACGTCACAACACCTTTCGGCTATATATATAAGGCGTTTGGGGTTTGGTCCGATGCCCTTCACCCAACACCCAGTGGATGGGCGTCTACCCTCCCTGGGGCGGGTGGTTTTCGACTTCGACCCGGGTGTGGTGTCCGACCGTGACATGGCACCTTGGGTGTTTGACCTCCTGAGTGGAGCGATTTCGGCCTCCAAAAGAGCGCCGGACTGGGGGGATGGTCTTGTCTGGTGAGAAAAACACGAGCATTTTGAAGCCAAGAGCACGAGGGTGGAAGCTGAAGCTATGAAGCCCGGCCATCTCTCCATGAACCAGATGTGCAGTGAACGTCAGAGGACGTGTTGCTGCAGGTAGTGAAGGAAAGAAGGACGGCTGACTGTTTGGACATCACCCACCGCAGCAGTCGCCTTCTCTGGAAGTCCAGCACTCTGTCCACGGAGCTGGGCACGACGGCCGGGACCTGCTTGGACCCCCAAAAAGGGGCCAACGGACGGGTGAATGAGCGGTGTGAAGGGGAGTGTTGCTTGGGCAATGCAAGCGGAGGTAGGTGAAGTACCGCGTGCCACGATGTACTGTAACTTTGTTCAGTTCTATAGTCCGGACTGAAACTTAGAATGCGTTTTGGTTTCCAAAATTATTGGCGAGGAAGTTAGAATGTTCGTGGAACACATAGCAGTTTCAGGAGCGGAGCGTTTGCCTTTTTGGACTTCATGAATAAACTACCATGCCTCGTGGCCGCGAACAGGACTCTTTCATATTGGATGATTTGGAAACTGGTCCAGGCGCAAACATGGAACTGTTGTGGGTTTTTTTTGGCGCCGGATTGCTGGAGATCAGCTCCCTCAGACAATCGAAGCTGTGGAGAAGCCCCTCCTTGTAGAGGAAAAATGGTCGTCCCATGATGGTTTCAAGGAGTGTCCCCCCGTCAAATTGATAAAAATCATCAAACGCCCTTGCCATAGTCCAGTGCGCACAGGCACAGGAGCACGGACTCCGCTCATATTCACTGTAAGAACATGAGGCACCTGTTTAAGCCACGGGGCGGGTTCACCTTTTGTCCGAGCTGCTCAGTTTGCAGCGCTGCTGGTCATGTTGATACCGTATTTGATACTGTATGATGCGGGAGATTGGTGTATAGTATGAAAAGGGAGACCTCCCAAAGACCGTCTGGAAGAAGTAAACTGGACCAGAACTCCTTGTTTGCGGGTCTTCTATGCGAATAACGTGAATACACGCCCAGACGTGCTTCTTTGTGAGTTTGGGTGGGCGTTTTCGTCCATCTTTGCGCTCCTCTTTTGAGAAGGCTAACTTGGAAGAACCATGTCATGGCAAGTTGAGAGGCTTCTTCTTTTCACAAGTGCCACGCCTTCAGAAGTTGCTTGGGCTCATCCTGATGTGGAGACGGCATGGTGTCCAGGGCATGTTGTGGAGGCATCGACTTGGACAAGCGTCCAGCAGCACCAGGGCGCCCTCTTACTTTCAGATCCCTCACATGCTCCACATGGAAATCGACTTGGACGGCAGCGTCCATCCACCTCCGCCTCAAACCCACCGCAGAGGCGAGGCAAGAGGCCCCGACCACCACGCGCCACGCGCCACGCGCCGTGGCAAAGCAGCGTGGCGAAAGCGCGCCATGGTGGTGCGAGAAGCCTGGCGCCCGGAGGTGGGCCGCTACCTGGAGGTCTCCCGCGCGGTGCGCGCCGGCGAGCTGCTGTTCCAAGAGGCCGTCCAGCGTCTGTCTGCGCGGGGGGTGGGGAGGTGTTTGGGAGGCTGGGAGGTGCAGAGATTGAGACATTCACTAGGCTAGAAATCGATTCTGAAGATGCAGTCCCTGCAAGATCCTGCAGCATTTCTCCATACAAGCCACAAACTTTGGAGGTGAACACCTTTTTCTGAAGCTTCCAGCGCCGACTCAATCGGCAGATTCGGTATTCTTGGGTTTTGATGCGCGAAAGAAGAGACCTCTGACCAATTGGGTGAGGTTCACAAGGCATCCGAATTGGTGGTTGGTCGCTCTACATAGATGTGTTATTCGTGTTATTCGTCAGCATGAGGGGAAGGCCCACCCAATGAATATGGCGATGGCCTCGCCGAAAACCATGGACTCTTCTTTTTGCCTGTGATGTTTTCGTTTCGCAACCCTTCCCTTTTTCCAGGTAGATGGCTATTTCTAGCGGCAGGTGAGGATTCCTCAGGTCAGCTGCAGACTGTCAGTTTCACCTGCATCCTCCATGGCATGACTTGAGGACATCACGTTTCACGTCTCCGCTCCGGATGGGTCGATCTGGGGCGGGGGCGGGGGCGGAATCCGGGTCTGAGAGTCTAAACCAGGGTTGGATGCATGTGTCACCCATGTGTCGACCCATGTTGGACCCATGTCGACCCATGTCTTTTGGGGCAGTTCAGTTCGGGGCTTCACAGCCCTCGCTTTTCTATGCTTTTCTCGCTTTGGGCACCAGGACTGACTGCATCCACGGCCTCCGAACTTCCTCCGAACCGGCCGTTCATCCATGGTTCCTGCGGACCGCATTCGCTGCGCGTTCGCGCCAGGAGCCGCTCTTCTTGCCGCTGGGCCGCGAAGAAAGGAGGTGTCGGACAATGTCGAAGATGTCATAGCTGCAGATTCACGGTCCAAGTTTTTTGTTGCAAACAAAAGAAAACAAGTGGGCAGGTGGATGTGTCTGTGTCAGAAATTCCTTTCTGTGGCAGGTGGGGCACCGGCCTTATGTCTCAGGGCCTTTTGAGGGTGGTCCATTTTCCACATTTCTAAACAGTGGTGTTGGCCATGCATAAAGTGGTAAAGCCAACAGGATAAAGCCACGGACATTCCCCAGCTCATCTGGGACTGACGGGCTTTCAGTGTTTTTGTATTAAGACTTGATCTCCCTCACATTTGTCAAGAGGTGTATCTTCCGGGAAGGCGCAGCGTTTTGAGGCTGAACGAAGCCATGTTCACAGTTTTCAGCCAGCCACGCTTTTGGTCGTTCCCACCGAGAGAGAGAGGCCGGTTTCGCGGTGGGTCCACCGACCGCCGTCGCCCCGGTTCGGCCAGAAGGGCTTCCCAAGCCGAGGTCCTCCCGGGTTGAGAGCGTGGCCTTGGTGGAGGAGCGTGCTGCGCTGCTCGCGCCGCGCAGGGGTGAGGTTCAGCGAGTGGAGCGTGCGGAGGTCCAAGAGCCTCTTGGCTGGCGAAACGAAGGAGGTTAGCTTCTTCATGAGGCCATCCAACGCATTGCCACCCTGAGAGATCAGGGTTGCTATTCCCTAGAATATCCTAGAATACTATAGAACAATACAACCCGTGCTTCTGCCGTAGGAGCCGACTCCGTCACTCAAGGTAGTTGAGCACAGTAATCTGCCAGGGCAAGAGGCCTAGCCCTTGAAAATACAATCATTGCGACCCCTCAGCTCGAAGAAGAAGCAGGAGAAAGAAGAAGAAGCAGGAGAAGGAAGAAGAAGATGATGAAGAAGAATTATATAGTATATATAAGTAGTAGACGTAGAAGTAAAAGTAGAAGCAGGAAGAAGAAGCAGCAGGAGGAGAAGAAGAATTGAAATGCGCATGAGAAGAAAAGACATAGCACGCTTCTTCTTTTTTCTTCTTCATCCGGTGAGAAAGAGCTGCAAGTTTCTCTTGAGAAGCAGAGGTCAGTTTAGTTTTATATACTGTATATATAGTTTCAGAGGGGCTGGGTCCAAATCTGGGTTGGTGGCTTTTCGTGCAGAGGGAAGGGGAAAAGAAACCAAAAGCGAAAGAACAAAAGAAAGAGAAGAGAAACAGGTATGAAAGAGAAGACACACCTTTCCATCTCAAACCCCTTTCTTCTAAGCTACCATTGCCTGCCTTGATCCGGCTGCTTGAGCCTTGTCATAACAAAAAGACCCTCTAGGACCTGGGCCACCAAGGTCTTCGTGGCTTGATTTCACACAGCAACGTTTTATCCATTTGGATAGAGGGCCCTTGCTGAAGATGGGCTGCCTTTGCAAATACTTATCATCAAATACAGTTTGTACTGTTGACCGTTACTTGTCTTCCCTTGTTTTCTTTCCTTTTCTTGTTCTCCCTGGTCGTGCTTAAGGAATGAGCACAGTAATCACCAGTGTTTTCGATTCGGCTAATACCTCACTCGAACACGGTCGTGTGCCCTTCTCCTTTTACAGCTCTCTTTATCACAGCGGGAAGAACGACCCATGGCAGTTCCAATTCGGACACGTGCACGGTCTGCACCTTTCAGACGTACTTGAACTCTTTCAGACGTAGCATGTTAGTGGTCAGCAGCACGTGGTGGCACGGCCTTCGAAACATCCTCTTGCTTCGGCCTCACCAGTCTGGATCTTGCAGAGGAGCTCTTCGACGATCTACAGGAGGAGGCCTGGTCTTTACCTCTGGCGACACAGGTGTTCCTGTGTGTGCTCAAGGAGCTGCTCGATTCGGGTGGCCAGGGGTCCGAAGCAGGAAGCGTGGCAGCGGGGTGCGCCTGCGAAGCCTCTGCGTGCGAAGCCTGTCCGCCGCTTGGAGTATGATCTATGTTTCAACGTCCTCCTTGCCATATTAAATAGGATCTACCAGGACCCTCCAAGGGGTGTCCAATGGACTACTCCACACTACCTATAGGAACCCATTGGGCACCCCTTAGAGGGTGCTGGTATGATCTATGATTCTTTACGCTCTCTTACCTGGGAAGTAATGCAAATTAAGCAAAGAAACACCACGATGCTGCCCGCGTTAAGCCCGCCGAGGAAACTTGAGAAGCTGGCCTATTTGAAGGGACATGTCGGGAAGTGGCACTCCTCGGCCATGATGCTCTACCAAGGTTTGAAGGCGGGCATGCGTTAGCGATTCTTTTGCAAGGACCGGATGGGGTGGGTTTCCAGTTTGCAGCTTCCAACTTTTCCATCCCGGATGTGGACTTCCAACTTCCTTGATCAGCCGCTCCAAGCTCGTGGACATGTGCCATAGAACGTGCAAAGGATCAGGAGGGTGGTTGCCCAGGATGCATGGTCTTGGGTGCGTTTTCGTGCGCAAGGACAACCCTTTCCAAGCAAAGGCCACGAAAACCCTTCCACAACCACTGTTCTGTAGGCCAAATGGCTCGTCAGGTGAAGTCCAGGATGTCTCCGGATGTCTCTGAAGATGAAGTGAATACCCGCCCCTCCAGACCCCCAAAACCACTCAAGGCGACAGTGGGGACCCCCCAGCGGCTGTTTTTGTGGAAAGCTCCGGAACCTGAGATTGGATCCCCTCCAGGATTCGAAGTCATGGAGTTTTGCGTCCCCAACGAAGATTTCGATGGAAGAGCCCCCAGAAAACATCAAAGGTCTTGTTGCGAATTCTTCGCCAACTCCACCCCATGGCCCCATGGCCGTACCGAGCCTTTCACCCGTTCCTTCCGGATGACGTTCGGCGGAACCATGGCGGGGTCAGAGGACACCACCCACGTTCCGACCCCGGACCGACCGGCCGGTGTGCGCGGACCGACCGACCGCGGCGGCCCGGAGGCGCAGGTGGCGGAGCGCGTCTCCTCCGAGCGCTTCGAGGAGCTCTACGCCACCTGCGCCACCAACGCGCACGAGGCGGCCGCGGTGTGGCGGACACATGGTCGGGAGGGGCGAAAGGAATCGGGTGGGAGCAGATGGACGGTTTCTATTGGACCCTGGTTTCTTCTTGATTTGGCAGGGTTGTTTCAAGCAGAGGTTCTTCAATTCACACGCTGTTTGCTTCTTTGGAACGGATCTGTGGAGGTTTCCCTTGGAACTTTGATGTGGCTGGGCGCCTGCTTGCTACGCAGGCAGATGGAGGTGACGGAGCGGCTCTCTTCCTAAAGGGTTCGATGGCGGAGCACAGCTGCAGGTGAGGCAAAGCGCTGGGTGCTCATCTGGGTTCGCCACTGGCTCTCACCAGGTCAATCAGGTAAGATTTCTGGTGACAGGAGGTGAAACACAAAAGGCACACACATTTTGGCCTAACAAGCGACCAAATGTTCTTCTGCCCGAAGGGTCGAAAGCTGGTCGTTTGTCTGAAATCCACACCCCTCGTTGCGAGCACCGCCTTGCTCCAGCCTTTCGGAGCGACAACTGATGGTGGATGGTTTCCAACATGTTCCAACAGCTACATCTCATCCAACCGCTACGCCGTTGCGCGGTTCCAACAGCTACCTGTTCCGAAGCGCGTGTTCTTTATTTTTTCTTCTCCGAAGCGCACTTCACCTCACCTGGAGGCCCACGGCCTTTAAGCAGATCCGCGCGGGGAGCGGGAGCGTCCCGCAGGGCGAGACACGGTTGGTGGTTCATGCGCTGAGAGACCTGGACGTAGGGGAAGCCATCTCGATCTCCTACATCCCCGAAGCTCGGAGCGAGTCAGCTCGAGTCAGCTGGTGGGTGAGAAGCTGGAGAGCGGGGAGCGAGCTTTGGGAGGCTTGGGGAGGGAGGGAGGGAGGGAGGGAGGGAGACAGAGAGAGAAATATGAAGGAAGAACCAGCAGTTTTGGCTTTGAGCCTGGGGTGGCCTATAGGCCTATGGATGACGATAGAACAAGATAAGGACAATGAATGGCAACAACATTGTTCCAAGAACCCTTTTTAGATGTTCAGGGCTTCAGAGAGTTCTACCAAGCAGTTGACACTAAGAGTGATACAGTTGCATGACACTGGGATCTTCGAGTTACTGAGGAGTACTATCCGACCTGGCTTCGACAGAGCATGCTGCAGCACGGCTTTAATTTCCAGTGCGGATGTGAGCGCTGCCTGAGTGGTGGTGCGGAGCTCTGCTGCTGCTTTGTATGCCCTGAATGTGAGGTGCCCAAATGGGACAGCAAACAGCGTGCAGCCCCCCGAACAGCGGCCACCAGCGAAACAGCTAGACTAAGTGGACTTGGGCTGGAGCCAGCAGCTAGAGCCTAAAGCTTGTTTTGAGTTCTAAAACCCAAGACCCAACACAAAGGCATCACCAAAGCCACAGCCTTTCGGGCTTATCTCCCCCCCCTGTCTGGTCGAGCACAGCACCGAGTCCAGGGCCCTTGCTGCCCGCCCGGCGCCGTCTACGAGGAGGGCGCCTATGAGCTCCTCCGCTGCGAGGTGCGCCCTGGTGCGGCGTCGGCGACGAGGATTCCTCTGTAGAACGAAAGGATCTCCTCGATGGGGTCTGGTGGTGGGGAACGTAGAGGATGTGATGTGCCTTTTGAAAAGAGCGTTTCTCCGGCAGAGGGGACAAAACCGATATAATATATAGTATAGTCTCTTTATACAATTCGATTTGTATATTCATGAATAAATAGGGACCCAGGCAAACTCAAGCAAAGTTCTGCTTCTTGAAGCATACAGCTTGTCAGTGGGCCCCGGAAGACATTTGATGTTGTGTGCCTTGGCAAGTCTAGTGATTGCGGGGGGTTGGCATGTTTTAGTTTTGTGAGCATCTTGGTGTGACCACTTCCTACCTTCCTACCTTCTTGCACTCCATGTGCCTGACTGGCTATCAACCACAACTATACCCTCCTATCTTCCCACCTTCCTTCCGACTCCCACCTATCGATGTACCCCACCTCTGGCAGCTTACATGGCACGAACATCAACCGAAATGGCCCCCACTTTCGCCGTCCAGGACTGCGGCTTGGAGCTGCACGACACGGAGCTGCTGGGCGCCCTGAAGCGGGCCGAGCGCTGCGAGGAGTTTGCCACGACAATGTCCGGGAAGCTGCATCCGTACCATTTCAAGATCTTCCACATGTACTTAAAGCACCTGGACCAGGTTGGACCAACGCGGAATGGGTATGCGGAAGGATGCAGATGGGTGGCTTTTGGGGCCGAGTGCTGGCAGTTTTGTTTTGTTTCTTTTGATGTCAGGATGTGACGAGTGAAGCTAGTGATGTCTTCCTCTAGAATGCTTTTGGTAGTTGGATGTATTTGGGGTACTTTCATTGTTAAGGGGAATGGTACGAGCAGGCGACCAGAAGGCTTCTAGAATGAGGCCCAGCGGCACGAACAGGCCGGTTATGAGAAAGGGGACACCCGGAGCCTTCTGCGCCAGCTTTCGACCGGATCCTTTCGTCCATGCCGCCCCGAAAGCTTTTTCGGATGGGGTAGGTACCGGCGGGCACGGCGCTGCAGATCTTGCCACAGCTTCAGGAAGCCTTCCATCGGCTGCGGCCCGTGGAGAAGGGACACCCCCTGCATGCGCAGCTGGCGCAGTGTGCAGCGGAGTGCTGGGAAAAGGTGGAGGATGAAGAGCAGGAAGCAGGTGCTGGGAGCGTAGCTTTGGGCATTGTGGGGGAGAGGTGACTCGGAGGATTGGGACTTGGCCTCATATAATCACTGATCATATACTGATCATAGCTTTGCCGTTTTGCCCCCCAAAAAAGAACGAGAACTGCCATCAAGACCCCCAAAAAGGAACTGGCACTCATCACCCATCTAGACATCCATTGGTTCAACAACCACTTCAACTGCCATCACCCTGGCTCCAGGCCTTGCCTGGCTCCGCGCCGCCGAGCTCTACGACCTCTGCGCGGGGCCTGCCTCGGCGGACGCGGCGCAGTGCTGCCGCGCCGCCCAGCGAGCGACTGCGAGCGGCCAAAACGACGCGACGTGGAGGGGCCACACGGGATCTGGGATGGACGAGGTGCGGTGGCGGCTCCTCCGAAGCTCAAGAGATGGTTTCGCCTCCGATCGCAGATCGATCGCATGACAGGCTGCCCACCAGATGGGGCAGGCTTCTTTTTGATCTTTTTGGGAGTTCCGTCTCATTCAGAACGCCTGACCCACTGACCCACTGACCCCGGCCCGCGAACGGGTGGTCCGGTGCAGGTCGTTCTGCGTTTCACTTCCGGTCCGCCAGGTTGGGAGAAGAGATGCGGAGTCTGCGAGGCCACCGGGGCCCGACTTCCCAAATCCTTACTTGCTGGTAAAGTACCATGGAAATGGAACTCTTAGAGGGGGGATTAGTTTCCTCTATTTGGCCACAACCCAGAAACTTACGAGCAAGCTCATGGCCAAGAGGTGCCAGTAGCGTCCCATGTTGCTGATGTGTTTTTGCATCTCCCGAAGGTCCCAAGGTTTGTGTGGCATACATTCAAGGAAGAACAGTTATGATTCATGATCTGATATAGTTTGTCATATATGATACATGACGTATAAGAACCGCCATCTATAGATCATTTGGTACAGTATGTGTAAGACACTTGTTTATTGTGTATAAGACATTTGAGTGTATTTGAGTTTACTTTTCATTATACAGTGAGTTCAATTTTATTGTAGGATTGGTTCGGTTGGTTGGTTTCGTTTTGGTGTCCTGCTTTATGGAATCTCTTGGACGGTAGAACGATTCCATACCTGTGGGCACTGGCGGCGAGGGTCGGTCCAAAAGCCAAAGAAAGCACTTCCCCCTTGATTACAGTGGTTTCAGCGTGGATGGCACAGACCTCAAGATGTCCTTTAGCTTGAGATGTGGGTCCATGATGGTCCATTTGCAAAAAAAGCACTCTTGGGGGTTGTACGTGCCATCTCTATACTCTGAAACCGCTGTCGTTCAACGTGCATCCAAAACGTGCCATCGATTTGGGATCCAGTTGCAGATTGACAGTCGAATGGATGTGGCCGGGTCGCAGATGCGCCGGATTCCACCGGGGCCATTTGGGCTCGAATCGGCGTGCCCCCGGTCCCCGTGCAGATTGCCGTTTTCTGCCAGGCCGGTGGTAGCAGCACGTAGCAGCACGGCGGGGAAGTGGGGCTTCAATGCTGGCGCCAAGTATGGACGAAGCTCACCAAGCTGCTCCAAGGCTAAGGTTCGTCCATACTCCATCCTTGGATGGAAGCATGGCTCCCTTGGAAGGTTCCCTTTTTTCTTTAGGATGGATGTGATTCCCCCTTCCAAGGGATTGCAGATTGTTTGTGGCGCCATGGTTCTGTGCCTCCGGTGGGAGTGTAGGTCGGCGCACAAAAAAAAGAACACTTGTATGTCCCAAAGCAAGGATCTCTTGACACATAATGTACTTTGTGCCGTTTTGTGCCGTGCTTGGCTGACTGTGACATTTTTTTTGCAACTATTGTTTGGGGTGGACGCCTTTATCAACATCACCATCCACAGTGGCCATCAGCACGCAGCAAGTTTGTCCCTCTTTCACAACCACAGCAAGTTCTTCAGAACTCTTGTGGCCCATTCCCTCACTTGCTGGTCAGATAGCCAAGGAAAAACCATTGGGGGAGAAACCCTGTTCTTTCTGTTTTCCTTTTTTTCCGCACCCGAAAAAGCGCCAGGTCCAGCTCCAAGGCTTTTTGCACCCGCACCGCGGGAAAGGGGCGGGAAAGCCGCGTGAAACCGGCGTGCTGGACTCTGGTGTCCTTAGATCGTTTTCCATGCCAAGGGGTTCTCCCCCACCTGGGTGAAGATCTTTTCTTGGAAGCCACAGAAGCAGGGAGATCCGGAGGTGCTCGCACCCCCTCAAACACACACACACACACATGGTAATGTTGGTGAACTGCGGCTGGAATGAACGTGCCCAGCTGCTAAACAGTTTTGTTTCCCCATGATCGCCATCATACCTTCGTAGATCTTGAGACAACCCACAACTACTGTACAAATTAGCACGATGGAGTGGGACAATTATATAGTTGATGTTGATCACTGGTCCTTAGGAAACCATCATCAACTGTGATCGGGGGGTAAGACAGACCCTGCCAAACCAAGTCCAGAAGACAGAAAAACGGTCCCAATGGAAAAGGTGATTGTCCTTTGCCGCTCACTGGAAGAAACGCGGACATGGAAAGTTCACCGTGAAAAACGCATGCAGAGAGACTCCCCAAAACCTCATGCAGGCTGCCTCAGCCCATTCAAAGCCCTCCAACCGTCCAGGGATCCAGGCCATCCATCCTCACAGTTGCTAGGAAAGATCTTAAATCGGAGGGGATCGCTCGACGTGACCGACAGATGCGGCTCCACTGGGCGACGCTGCTGCTGGGGGTGGCCGGCCGCAGCTTTGCCCCTTGGAATGGTGGGTGGTGAGACTGGAACCACACGGGAACCGCTCGACCTGAGGACCTGGACCTGAGATTTTGGATGACAGAATTCAGAGAAGCAGATCGGATGTGTGAGCCATGCTCTATCTACAGTCTCTGAGTCAGAGACTCTCTGACCCAAGCATCGTTGACACATGGAGATGCCGAAACTTTCGATGGAAGTCTAGGGTCTTTGATGGTGTTTGGTATCAGTTTCCTCTTCATCTTAGTCAAACTGCATCACTTAGTAGTTATTGGGCCGGTCAGGTTCAGTGGGCAAGGTCCGCTCCAACTGCTGGGTACGGACAGGTCACCTTGCTGTAGGTTGGCTCGAAGATCTATCATCTTCTCAAACACAAAGTGATCATCACAAAGGATATTCTAGGTGATGACTCAGATTTTGCTCAGCAAGAATCAAGGGATCTCCTAAAGTGGACATGGAGCTTTGCAGGACGCAACATGGAGCTTCTCCACACCGGAATTCCCGAGGCAAACGTAGCGCCCGAGGACCGGGAAAGCTACCAGAGGAGCCGACCCACCAAGCAGAGCTCCAAATTCAACCCATAGACCATGCACTCATCTGGCATCCAGGTCTTGATCCTATTTGACCCCTCTGGCGCGCCCCTCTGGCCAAGGAGTATGCGGACACACTGACCGCTAGCAGTGGTGTGGATTCGAGCTCCAGCCGCGTGGTTGCATGGCTTCTCTCCATGGGGAGCATCGAGCTCCAGCCGCAGAATTCGTTGCAGACATGGCTACCTTGCGCGCATCGAAATGGATTATGGGGATCGAAGTTCCGGTCATTGGCAGTTTGAAGCCTCCGGCAGTTGCGAAGGGGTGAACAGTGGGACTGACTGTTCGGTTCAAGGCAGTGGCAGTGGCAGGTCTCCCAAGCGGTCGGGTCTCACCTCATTGAGAGGATGACACGACGGACAACGCGAAGAGAGATTCACGTCCCTTCACTCTCTCTTTTATTAGAGCACATCTCGGAGATAAGTGAAGGATGAGGTTGGAGGATGAGGATGAGGTCTGAAGCCCCTCCCCAGAAACACCCGCCCCCATGGCGGGCATGGCTTCTTCGCCCGAGGCGGCGAGGCCGCGCTGGAGCGCAGCGGCTTGGACCGTGCTGAAGCGTCCCAGCGTGGATCGGCCGTCGGGTGCGGAGCCCTGCGCCGGGGGGGGGTGAGGACGGTGGTCTTTGAGATGCAGGAACCTGGCGCTCTTCGCAGGGAGTTGACCAGGGAGCCCCTGACCAGAGATGTTGGGTTTCGCATTTCCAACGAGTTGAGGGAATGACTTGGGTGAGGAAGGACGTTGGTTTCGGGACCCAACGATGAAGATGCTGAACAGGTGATTCCCCCCTCCAAGATCTTCCAAGGCATGAAGGGATCGATTTACCAACCGTTAGGGCCGTTAGGGGCTTAACCAGAAGCGTTTACTCTACATGCTGAGCCCTTTGGGTCCGCGGAAAAAGCCTGGAACAGCCACTGCTCCAGGAAAGATGTTGCAGACCCATGGCGAGAAGGTGCCTTGGGCCAGAAGTACCTGTCGACGCTGAAGTGTGACCGGAATTGATGAGGTCACAGCTACGGTGTTAACAACGGTGGGACTGTGGGACTGCACTTGGGTTCTGCATTCACCCACCAGCCTCACATTGAAGCCGAAGAGTCAGATGGGTACGGGGCACCGAACTGAAGCCCAACAGGGCGGAGAGTGTGCCATGTCTCCATCGCCATGTCTCCATCCGCGACCTCCAACGGAAACGCACACGCATGAGCAGGGTCAGCGTGGGACTGTCCATCGGGCGTCCGGTGGAGGAAGGAGTCCGACCGTTCGGCGGGGGCTGAGTCGTCGAGTCGAAACAGGGCGCTACAGGACGTACGGCGAGGACGAGGAGGAGTATGCTTCGAGGCTCCGAGGTCATATATTATATATATATGGTACCCCCCCCAAAGTCTTGGTAGACACTTGGGGGGGTAGCATATAGACCCTCAAGGTCCTAAGGTGGGGCATTGACTTTTTGACTATACTTGGCTAACTTTGATTTCACGGGCTTATATGATAAGAACAGATTCATAGGTGGACAGGCCATGTTCCTCAACAGCGCTGGTCTTTTTGGCGAACAGTTCCTCAACAAAACTTGGAGGCTGGATCTGACCACATGTCAACGGGTCACCACCGACGTGTACCGCGACATGTTAGAGACCGGTGAAGCGCCGCGTCGACGAGGCCACGGGTCATGAACTCCACTAGCCAACAAGATCCAATGCTTCAGAGGCAGGAGGAATGATATGTACGAATCAGTTAGCAGTTGGGTGTGCACATGCCACTAGATCACCCGCGTGGTGCCCTTGGTCTTTATCCCTTTGTGTCACCTGTCGGGTGCCTGGTTTTTCCCCCCCACGTTTCATCCGAGGTGCCCAACGTGTGGATGGCAACAACTGCCAGAACGTTGAACGGCTTGGCGCTTCTTGGCGAGTGGGCGTGGGGCCTTCCGCCCGTGCCGGGCAGGTGGAAGGCCGCGGAAGGAACTCGCAGACATTGAGGGAAAAACTACAGGAAAATCAATGCCCAATTCGGTAGTGGGATCAATTCATTGAGAGATCTATAGAGATCTACTGTATCTGCCACACCGCCCGCTGATGATGTAGTATTGAACACTCTGAAGAGATGATGGGTTTGACCATACCCAAGCAGTTCCTTCCTCAACATCCATCGGTCCTTTACTTTTTGAGGTCAACGTTTCAGTGACGCGCGAAAGCCACTGAGGATGCATGGTACCACTGCCCTAGTTACTATGTGGCAGAGGACCTCTCCACGGCCTCATGCCGAACGCCCTGCGTGAACCACCCAGAGCGTAGCTTGGCTATGTTGGGGACGTGAAAGCGCCGGCTCGATGGAAGATGCTTGAAGAATTCGGAACACCCACCTGATATGGACAACCAGAACTCAGAGTGTTTTGATTTTGATGGTTCCAGGTGGCGAAAAAGTCTTTTCATCAACAGGTGGTGCAGGAAGTTGATTGAACTTGATTGTCCTGAATGCATGTTGGTGGCTCCGGTAACATCGTATGACAAAGTCAGGGCACAAACTGTCAGTTGTTCCCCAGATAGTGCGAGCTTTTGGGTTTCTTGCTTCAAGTCTTCGAAAAGGTGCCTGTTTACCTGGACCGCAGACCTGGACCGAAGACCGCGACCGCGCGAAGAGAACCGCCCCACCTCGCCCGTGCGGTGTGGCGCGAGGCCGCCGCGAGTGCCTGGCCAGTGAGGCGCCGATCTGCTGCGCCGACAGCTCCGACTGCGCGCGGCATGGGTGTTGCCGCTGACGGGATAGAGGAGAGTGTTGTTCCTTGGTGAGGTCACGACCAGTGCTGAGGGCAGCATGGAAGGGAGATTGTAAGGTCGATGACCAGTTCAGGTGTAAAGTTGGGCAACATTTCCTGTGCCAGATGGTTGGGAGATGAAAGACAGAGCCTGTAGGGAAATATGGACATGTTGTCAACAGGAGTTCTTTAATGCACTAGGTTTTAAGGCATTTTGTTTTTGGATGTCGAACTAGTAGAACGGGGTCGGTAGCTTAGCAGAGAGTGGACGTAGAGACACTGACCAGTTTATTTTGATCCGTCAGATGAGAACAGCGAGATGTCCGGACAGTATCTTCGTATCTTCGCAGGTTTAGCAGGGGACGCCAGACCGGTCATCTAAAGTTTATTGTTGCAGTACGCTTTTTCACAGGAACTCGGAGGTCTTGTGGACCCTTAGCTTTGACTGCCTCACTGCCTCACGGGGGCTTCCAACATCTTCCCATCGTTGGCGGTTTCTGTGCAACCCCAGAACGTGAAAAGGCTACTTAGTCCACGAACGGGGCAGTGGCAACACCTGGTGTACCTGGCCTCCGAGCCCACAGCGGAAAGGGAGGAGGCCCGGACCGGAGGCCCGGACCGGAGGTCGCCGTGGATCGGATGGAGCTTGACAGCACCACCCCTCCGACACAAGAAACAGCCCAACTTTGAAGGGGAGTGATATGTTTAGATCCATCCGTTCCCGCCACACAAAAGAAGACCAGCGCGGTCTTTCTCCCCAACGGAAACCGCTGGCGGCGAGCGGCGGAGCCTCGGGCTTTCTACGGAGCCTTTCTAGAGCGGCTCCTCGACGCTCCGCGGAGCGTCCTCGAGCTCTGGACCTGTTGGCCGGGGCTCCTGCCGGAGTGGGTGCGGCGCCCCCGAAGGGCGACGGCGACGAGGAAAAGAAGACAAGGGAGACCAGGGAGGAGTCGGTGAAGGAGACGGCGCTGGGTGGTCTTGGGAGGGCCTATTTTTTGTTGGCCTGGTTGGAGCAGCTTCCGATTCGTGGATCTATCGTTGCCCATATATAGAAATAAACTTCCCCATAATTAGGGTCCAGGTCCAGGTACCTCCTTTTCGGATGGGTTTGGAGGTGAGTACGTGCTTCCTGAGAATGGTCGTTGCCTGGAACGAACCAAAGGTCGTCCGAGCGATTCGGAGGGTCCTGGACCCTTAGGGACTGCATTCTGAATTCTGTGATGTGTGTTTGATTCCTTCTGATGTGAATTAGGGTCTGTTTTCTGTGATGGTCTGTGATGTGAATTCTGAATGGAGCATCACTTGTTTCTTCGGGTTCGACTCCAGGCGCTGACCAGCTGAGAGTTGCTTTGAGGACAGCACACAGCGCGAGGCAGCGGTGTGCTTTTCTTTGGAAGTGGGTTGAGTATGGGTCAAACCTTGGGAATTGTTTATAGATCATATAGCAGAGGAAAATTTCTGGGGTTCCCCAGATGGAACCAGCATTTCGTTTTCGCTTGAGAGGCACCGACTTGGCGGTGAAAGCCTTCACCCCAAGGCCTGTGCCGCCCTCGTCACGTGACGTCTCCACCCCGGACCGGACCGGACGACCTGTCGACCTGACGAGGTTCCATGTGGAGAGGGCATGGCGGTGGCCCAGCACTCGCGGTGGCCCAGCTCAGCAGAACCCGGCGACAGGTCCGGAGGGGGGAGTGGACCTGCGACTGGTGCGAGGTGGCGAGGTGGGGGTTTGGGAGTTAGTCTCCCAGTCTCTGACAGGCGGTGGTTGGAATCTGTTTGACGTTCTTCCTTCTTCGATCCGTGGTTCCCTGGAGAATCAAAAGACTCGGTGGAAACCTGGTCCTTCACCTCACGTTCTGGAACGATGCTAAAGGAGTCGAGGTAGATCAGATGAGGGGGTCGTTCTGTCTGAGTTCTGAGTGACCCAAATCCTGGACTCGACGAACAAGGCAGAAGTTGTTTGCAAAACTGAAAGTGAGGTTTCGGGTCGATGAGTTTTTTCTTGAGTCATGAGGTTTTTCTTGAGCACCCTGGGGAAAGGTGTGTTTTCTCAAACTCCTGCACGCAAAAGGACTGATTAGGAGAGCATCCTGGATTACAAGGGTCCACCAGACTCTGATGAGAACACTTGCTACACCATGCAGGGATTGACCCCTTAGGGAGTGTTTCGATGGATGCACCCCGCAGATGGCACTAGTGCCAGCTCTGAGGTCTGGGGGCTTTCTTCGATGCCGACCTGGTCGCTGAAGCGAGCGGTCCACTCTTCTGCCCCAAAGAGTGCGGACAAAAAAGGGATGAAAAAAGCATCTGATGACATGCCGAACATCTCTTGCTGATGTCTGAAAAGGGGGGTGGTGTGAAACAAGCAACGCGAGCTCCTTGTTTTTGATCACCCTCATGCTCCACTGGGCTATACGGCCAGCCTCAACATCAGGGTGGTGCCGAGGAGCCTCGTCGCCTCGTCAAACTCGGCGACAGCGCCATGGTCGTCATCATTTTCACCAGCGCCATGACCATGACCATGATCATTCTGATCACTCTGGGCATCATTTGCAGACATTCAGACCACACACGTACCAGACCAAAGCTTTTGCGAGAGTATGCCAGAAAGATCCACACAGTATTGAGACACATATTTTTTCCCATTGCAACATACCACCAGGTATTTGCCCAACAAACGCCTTGCCATGGTTCAATTGAAGCCAACCTGTAGACTCGAGGTAGACCAAGGCAGCAGGCAGCAACCCACTTCGTACCGTCTACAAGCATGCTTGAGAGCCTCAAGTTTTTCCTGCACCAAGTGGTGATTTAGCGAAGCGTTTGGGTTCTGGGGAAAAGCCCCACAAGACCCGCTACGTGGGCTTCAGCCACTCCACCCACTTTCACCCCATAGCTGAACCAGCTGAACCTGTTCCGTGCTCGCGGCGGCTTCAACACCTGCGTTGGCCTCCTGTGTACATAGCCATGGCAGAGTCGAGCGTGCGGGACATCAAAGTGGGCTTCAGCAAAAGCATCCTGGAGCAGTCCGAGATGGACTTGACCAACCTGCGCATCGGGAAGCAACGTGTGGTGTCCAAGAAGAAGCGTATGAGCCCCTTGGCCTAGAGGGGTTTGATCGGTCTTTAGCGTGTTTGGCCGGCGGCGCCTCAGTGGCCCAGGCCTTTGGACTTGCTTTTGGTGAATCCTTTGATCCTCAAGTTGTTGGTCCAGTGGTTGTGGGAACAAGCCAAAGCAAGAAAAAACATAGATACATGGACCACAAGGCGTTGAATGGAGATCCGCAAGTAGTGTAGGGTAGTGCATGAGTGACCTGTTGGAAGTTGCTGATACGTGGTCTTCGTTTGAACATGGTTTCTCTTCTGCACATTCTGTTGCTGTCCAGGGCTTGTGGCCCAAAGAAGACACCAATTTCAGGGAACCGCACTTTTGACTGCGCCCACATCTCCCGCATCCTTTCTTCTCCAACCTCGCCTCCCCGATTCCGCAAGCACCCGTCTTTTCCGCAGCTCGCAGCTCGCTGCGCGGCGCTAGCCGCCTGCGCTTGCCGGCAAGCTTCGTTGGGGGCGGGGAAACTGTCCGACTCGAAGCCAGGCAAGTTGAAGAAGACCATCCTCGAGGATCGCGAGTACCGGGATCCGGAGCGCCCCACGGGTGTGGCGACGGCCGCCGCGGGTCCACAGCGTGCGGCGCCGCGGCCGGTGGGGCTGGTGACCACGCCGAGTGAGCCGGAGCCGTTCCTGCCCAGCTGGTGTCAGATGGGAGTCGAGGAAGTTGAGAAAGATGAGATGGAAGAGATGCAGGAGGAGGAGGAGGCCTGATTCTGCGCACGTTTCGATCAGTTCAGATGGGAGCTGCGTCCAGAGTTAGGGAAATTACTCCTTTGTAGACCTGGGGAACACTGGAAGAAACAACTCAGGAAAGAAACACAGTCCGGGAGTCATCCCTTCGTTCGCGCAATGAAGCAGCACTATGACAACCCCTCGGTCCCTCTCGGTCCCCGCCTTCGCCGAACCTCCGAAACCGCCCAGGCCGAGTGCTCGGCCGAACCTCCGAACGAGGACGTCGCGGAGCTCAGCGAGGACGTCGCGGACGTCGCGGACGCGGAGCTCGAGGCGCTGTCGATCAGCGAGGCCCTGGAACGACTGAAGGAGGTGCAGGGCCGTGGCGGAGCTTCAGCCGCCGCGAAGCCGAAGACGGACTTGGAAGTGCGGCACTACGTCACTTGGTGGCGAGTCTCTGGGAGGGTGCAGATGTTATACCTAATCCAAAAACAATGGCGGCCTGGGGCTCCTTCTTTTAGAGGTAATCCTGAGGCAATCTCCAGTTTTCGATGACATTTATCGGACTCATAGGCTGTATGGCCAGTGCAGCCATGGGTGCATTCCACTCGGTATGGTTTGCACCAGGCCCGAGAAACCCACTCCGTGGAATTCGGAGCGAGATGTTTGTGATGCTTGTTAAGTGGTTGATGGCAGGGCAGACTTGTTTGATCCGAGACTAATATAGAAGCTGAACATGAAACTGAAGACTAGAGACAGATCTTTTTGACCTCTGGAAGACAATTTTTCTTTTGCAAGATCTCCGACATTTCATGTTGTGATCTCTGGGAAGATTGGCTCATGTGCTTCAGGTACACCAGGAGCTCAGTGATGAGCTGGACGAGAAGGTCAAACATGCAGCCTGGTGTCGAAAAGATCTGACGATCTACATATCTGTGATCTATGGATGTCTCTTCCTTCGAAGACCCGAAATCATTGGGGCGAATCCCGATTTCAGGTGGGTGATGAGTCTTGAATCACCGTCGGATTGTGTGCTAGGACTTCCACACAACTGTTTTGTGAGATTTGAGAGGCTGTTATGTCTGGTTATGTTTTCAAGCAATTCTCAAATCCAGCCACGTCTCTGTGGAGGCAGAGAAGCATCTGTAACATATGCATACATATGCCATGTTCATGTTGCAGCAGGGAGAAAACAAGCATTTTGCAAGCATTTTGCCACATGGCTTTTATATGTCTATGACGTTGCTTGGCCTCCTCTACGCCGTATCACACCGGTGCACAACACACCCACCTTTTCTAGGGAGAACCAGGAGAACCAGGTGCACAAAAAACGGCGCAGTCACTGGTTGTCAATGAGCTGGTGCAGTCCCTCAGGTTCTCTCTGAGCTGGTGCGATTCCAGGAACGTGCCAAGGAGAACCCCGTGAAGTACGCCAAGCTCAAACGCCGCGTGGCAGTCGGTCGTGCTGGGGCGTGTCGCGGCACTGGGGTCTGGGATGGTCTGGGGTCTGACGTGTGAGGCTTTTGGCGGAGTTCGGTTGTGGGGGTGCTTTTGGGTGGTCGAAGATTCCAGATCCCTTTCAAAGACATACTTCACCACCAAAGGCTGAAAGCCAATTGTTTCTCCCCTTCTTTAAAGTGACCTTTTGATATCCCAGTTTGAGCTCACCTGGGACTCTGCAACCAGGTCACTTTGAAGAAGCTGGCCATGGTTTTTAAAGCAAACATTTGCTTCTTTTGCTCGTTTTGTAGGTGGCCAGCCTCTCCATACCCCTAAGGCTACTGTGTGGGCTTGCGCGAAGCGAAGCGCGCCATCAATCGGAACAAGTGCAAGGCGGGGAACATTGGCCTGGATTGATTGGAGCGATGGTTGGTCTCAAATGGGCGTGTAGCTCACATAGGAAGACCCCCCTGGCCCCAATGGTTTTTGGTTCATTTCCCTTCTGCCATCTTCCTATTTTAATACACACCCAAATGTATGGACCATGACCAGCCTTTTTAGATTTTTAGATGTTTTTTTATTCATTCTTCCGTCTACCAAGGAAGGCTCCCCTATCAACGCTGGGTGCAGCCTCAACCCTCGAAGCCCGCAGCCTTTATAGATCCCGAACATCCTCGCACATCTGTACCCTGAGTTCTACAGCATGACATGCATGACATGCATGACATGCATCATCATGAACAGAAACCCATTATATAAAAACGACACACACACACACACACCCCGCTCCGGTCACCCGAAATCTCCACTTCCACCGACCTTTGGAGAACGTCACCGACGGAACCGAGGGCCTCATCGTGGCGCCGAACCTGGAAGTCTCCACGGCGGAGGGCGGCTTAGATGACACGGTGGAAGACTTGGTGGAGCTGGCGCGGGAGAATGAGGCCACGGAGCGAAAGCACGAAAACGTGGCCGTCGGAGTTGTTTGGGATGGAAGAAGTTGGGTGTGCAAGACCCCTTACTATCTACTTTTGTACTATATATATGCAGTGGAGAGGTTTATAGTTTGGATGGTGGGTTGTGGGAAACCACCAAAAAAATGCCATGCACAAATGTGTGGATGTGTGTGCCATGGGGTTTGGATCCGATTTTGAGGGCTCAATGATGTAAAGCTTACCGCCCCTGAAGCTGAACCATTCAAGAAGAGCTTGGAACTTGGGAGGTGAAGCGACCTGAAAAAACCATCAAAAACTCAGCTTCGAATCCTTGTGCCACCATGCGCCTTGATGGGATTTCACTCATTTCACTAGCACCCCCTGGCTCAAGCGACTGGGGACGGTCCCGGTCGACTCGCGTCTGCAGCAATGGGCTGCACTTTTCGGGCCCAGCTGGCGCTGGCCACCCTGCTGGGCCTTGGCGCGCTGGCGGCTTTGCTGATCCACCAGCGGCCACGAGTTGCTGCCAGGTGGGATGGTGTGGAGAGGCTGATCCACCAGTGAGAAGAAAACACCAACCAAGACTCTGGAAGATCATGGGGATATCATTGGGATGGTTCGACCGGATGTCGCTCCGATCCGACCGGGATGTCCTCGGGAGCCCAGTGGTAGGACATGGAACTCGCCGGATGTCTAGGGATGTATCGTTGGACACGGACTGCCAGCGGACTCCCACGGAGGGAAAAACCCAGGGTGTGGATGATGGATGGCTTTTGTTGGGTGGAACGATCTTTCTCTCGCTGGCAACATAGACTTAGACTTTGGAGAAAGGAAAAAGAGACAATGAAAGGCGAAGGGAAAGTAATTACAAAGGACTGGGGGAAGTTTTGAGTAAAGTAAAATGATAGCAAAAAGGAGAAAGCACACCACCTCACGGCACCTCACTGAAAGGGCTTCACACATCCTTTTCATCTGCACCTTCGAGCGCACACACCTAGTCACCTAGCGACTTGCGCCATCTTCTGTTACCCCATGTATTTGATGTACAGGGCTCCCGGGAGCCATCCTTTCAAAAGCCAGCGCGAGCGCCATGCGCTTGGCTGCGCTCTGAAAGTAGTGTCAGTGTACACAATCATAATCATGAATCCCATTCAATTCCTTCTCGAGATGCTTTTCTTCCAGCTGCCTCTGGACCTGGCCAGGTCCGAAGAGACCGTGGCGGCTTGGGAGGTGGCGGAAGGGGCGGGGCGGAAGGGGGATGGGGGACATGGGGGGTACAGGGCCCCCAGTTGTGACACGTAGTGGTTGTTTGGTGATGTAGGTGTGTATATATATATATATGGTGTGTATATTTGTAAAATGGTGAGCGGAGGATCAACAGCAACTTGTAAAGGCAACTGTCACAACTCAACCAACGGGGATCAAAGAACTCCGTCACGATCAAAAGCAAGCGGTGCGCTCACTTTTCCATTGCGCAACCGTCGGGGGCTCGGATGAGCCAGACTCAAGGGCCCTTGTGCCAAAATGGTCACATGAGAGGGCCGCCATCTCATATCACGATATGCATGTTCCAATGCATACAAATTCACACGCCCTCATGGCGGTGCGAAGATGGGACCATGCTGTCAGCGACACTGTTCAGTCACGCAGCTCTCGGCTGAATCCGTACTTCTCAGCAAGACCTTCAAAATCAGGCTTCTTCCATTTCACCTTTTCAAGGTACATGGCAAAGTCCACGGCCTTGGTAATCTTGGATGGCACTTTTCCACCAGTACCATACTTTGACAAAATGAACTGGAGGTACTGACGCATGTCTTCTCCTTTCTTCGAATTCGTGCGGGCCGTCAGGATCATTTGATCATACGTGAGGCTTTCAGCCTTCACCTTATCCATACGACAGATGGTCTGTCCCCATTCCTCTACGGTGCTGATTCCTTCAGGCAAGGGAATCAAGGGATCGGTCACATTGGCCACTGGGAACAAGTTCACCTTTCCAGCTTCATATCCCTTTGGGCTCACAGCAAGGTGCTCCGGTGTCATGGTTGAACCGGTAGGCTCATTGGCATTCAAGAGCTCCCACGGATTCGAGGCCTGAGAGGTCTCATCGGCATCCATGCGTCGCTTCGCAGCATCAGTCATGGCGGACATGGAGGCATCCACGATGACCTGAGCTCCCACAACATTTGGTCGGAGGTCTGGACGAATCTTCACCCAGTCGTTCACACGCTGGAGCAACTGTGCACTTTGTCCGAAACGGACAGCTCGATGGAGAAGGCCGGCACACATGCTAAGATCCTGATCCGTCAGTGGTGACCGGATGTGATATTCTTCATCATCGGTCTTTGCTGCTTTCGACATGATCCTGCGGGACTGAATGGGCGACACTTCACGGTCGTGCGCTCCTTGGAGCAAAAAGGCTGTGCAAAATTCGGTTTAACCGATGCGGCACAAGAAAAATGAGAAAAACAACCAGGACGACTCCTCAGCAACGAACTGGTTCGAGGTGGCTGGCAATGGATGGTTTCTCAACCTAACTAACAAATTCCTTTCAAGTTTCACCAAACGAATGTTGGATTCACTTCACAACATGCATGCATGGGCCCTAGTGCTCATCTAGTTGACGTTTCTCTGCTTCTGCAGCTCTAGCCTTGGCTTTTTCTTTCTTACCTGACTCTACTCCGGTGTGGATGGTGTATTTCCAAGTGTCAACGAGTTTATAGAAAGGTCCTGTGTCGGCTCGTAGTTTAGTCAACACGTCTGCACACATGAAAATGTTACTAGTCCAAAAGACCATGATGTTCTGCAAGGACATGCTTTCCTTTGCGATGGCATAGTCGATCTGAAGTCTCTTCTCTACGCTAATAGTAGGAGAGCTACACGATTTTGTGACTGCATCGAAGAAACCCTTGCTATCAACAACGAGGCATGCTGTCTTTTCTGGGACTCGTTCTCGAAATGTTCGAGGCGATTGGCCTTCTAGGATCTCAGCAAGCAGGGATTGAATCCACTCAATCGCATCAAGTCCATTCTGACCGGACATGGTTTCTGCTGCTACTGAGGAACGAACTACTCGTCGTAACTTCTTAGAACTCCAATCTATTATCCATACAGGGGATTCCTTGTTCTTCATGATGTCTTTGGTCGTAAGACATAGGATGTATCCACCTTGACTTTCACCGTTAGCTCTAGTACACCAGCCAGCATCAGCAATACACACGATGTGCCAATCTTTTACTGGAACGTGGCTAGGGAATTTCAAACAGATTTTTCTAGTTTTCATTTCCCTCACGGCTTTGTTGTACAAGTGGACGTGTTCAACTTTCCCCTTATCCTGAACCCCTTGAAGATACGAAGCCAGGAATGCCTGTTCCGGACGTGTCGAGTTCGACACCCAGGCTAACTGACCGGCGCAAGTTCTAAGGATAGAAGGATCTGTAAGGGACGTTGAAGCGTTTCCCAAAGTCTTCGTTTCAACATGTTCCAAATTCTCGATGTAATTTTCTTGTCCTACTTCAATTTCCATCATATTTGGATTTTGTCGAATCTCTACTCCTGTATATCTTATTGTGAAAGTACGATAGTCACCGAACGGCAATTTCTTTCGGAGTCGGTCCAAGGCTTGGTCCATTTCCTTGCAACCTCCACCTAGTAGGTCATCTACGTGTACTCCACATATGCCTTTCAAAGTGTTATCGGACTTACTCCTCAACATAAACAAACATGGATCCAACTGGCTCTGGGTTAGCCCTGCTTCCTTAAGTTCCCTGGTCAGGCGGGAAAACCAAGCACGTGGTGCCTCAGCCAGGCCGTAGGCAGCCTTCTCAAGACGAAACAGGTCATCTGTACTCAAGTTCATCCATTGTTTGATTTCTGCTGGAGGTCGAAAGTAAATGTTTCTGCAAGATTCATCACCTGACAAAAACGCTGTTTTTATGTCGGCTCCCCATAGCTTCCACTTGGATGCTGAACAAATGGATAGAACAAGGTGCTTTGTTTCCTTACGCAAAGTTGGACTGTCTGTTGCTACCTTTCCTAGGTCCGGGTCCTGCCATCCTACCAAAACTAGACGTGCTTTTGGAGTTTTGGATGTGATATCAGGATCGGATGACTTTTTCCATACCAAGACCCACCTTGCTCTAATTATTCTTTCTGTAGGAATCCCTCTAGCCTTGCAAAGTGAAGTCACCTTATTGTCAATCCAGCTTTGCCATTCCTTTTGCATAGCTTGGAGAAACAGTTTCTTGTCGTGTGGATTGAGTTTGCGGAACTGGACTTCAACCCTTCTTTGCTTCGCCTTGGACTGCGGCGCAGCTTGCAAGCATTCTTCAAAAAGATTCCAGAGACACAGAGGATTCTCAGTGATGTCTTCGGGATGGACGTCAATGGAAAGTTCGAACACATGTTCTGCCTGTTGCAATCTGGCTGTTACCGCTAGTTCGTCTTCACCAGCTTCTGGAACGGGAACATCTATGCCAGATGGTTCGATCTCGTTCGATCGTGAGTCTACTTCAGGCATTACTTCATCGGTGTTATCGGGTCTATCGGATTCGGGCGGATTAGTGTCTGTCTCTGGTTCCAGGTGTGCAGGTACAGCACCTGGGTCAGGCATGAGCTCATCAAGCTCGTTGTGCATTTGAAAGCCTGACTGAGATCCCTCTTCTTCAAGAGGAACTGGCGGTTCGGTGGGTGCATAACTTGGAGATGAATCAATTTCAACAACCCTTCTACGTTTATCGGCTGGCTCAAGTCTATCCTCGGGGATCTCTTCAGGAGCAACAGCGGCAAATGGCTGCTGATTCAACTCTTGTTCATGCATACTGCCGAGAGGTGGAATCTCGCCTCGTGATCTCTTTTGCCAATATTCAGGGGAACGATAGAATCTACGTCTTATCTTATGTGGTCTACCCTCCGAATCAGGTCTGTCATCGATGGTCTCAGGATGAGGTTCGGCTTCTACATCTTCCTTGAGTTCGAAGTCCTCTGGACCAGGGATGTCCTTTGTGAGATCA